CTCGACAACTCGTGGATGAGTCAATACAGCCATAGTCGACAAAAAATCTACAGCAGAAGCTGTAAAACCTCCATGTAGTGTACCAAATACATTTGTATGTTGTTTTTCAACAACCATCTCAGCAACACATTGGCCATTTCCAGCTGATATTATATTCACCTTGTGTTAACAAAAAATCAATTTAATTAGTGAACCTATCACACTTCAAAATGTGTTATTTTAAATTGGTACTTTATTTCGGAATCAACCAATTCCATTTATATATATATATAATATATACCATTAAAGAAATCATGCAATTACATACTTAGAAATTAACATTGATATAAATAATTATTTAATTTTATTACATAAAAGAACATTAATAATATAAAGTATCAAAGTCCAATCTTTTAAATCAGTGGTTCCCAAACTGTGCTCTGCACAACCCTTAGTGCAATGGCTAATCAAGGGCTTCGTTTGTAACACCACAAACAATTTGAAAATTGTATGTTATTTATAATGAATATATACATCATGAAGAATTGAATGACATAATTTACCAATAAGTCGACTGCCTAAAATCTCKATAAGAAATTTGTAAACAAAATTATATTTTAAATAATAAATAATATTTTCTCAATTTCTTTTAATACAATTATTTCACCTTTATTCATAAATATATGTTTTACTTTGACTCTCGTATGTGTACAATTCATATTTATTATACTTCATAGAATATAGAACACATCAAGTAGATAAAAATTAACGTTAAATACTTCTTGGRGGCTCCATCATAAACTTCTACTTGAAAATAGGCTCTAAGGCTGAGAAAGTTTGGGAACCGCTGTTTTAAGACTTCATAATTCATATGCTCCAATTCATTGTTAATTTCAAAAAGAACTAGATGTATGTCTCGATGAATGGACATCATAGCTATTTTCTAGTCTGTTTAGCCTCGTAATAAAACAATTATAGCAGGTCYAGACTCCATACACCCCCCTATTTGCCACTGAAACCGTGTATACATTTTAAATTATTATTTTTTGAATTATATCAAACCAAAATTTTTGACTAACAAATTACTAATAGGATATATTTTTTGAATATTACTTTACACTTATACCTTGGTGGCTTAGTTAATATATATACTTACTTGTAATTTGTGTTCCTTAACAAAGTTATATTGGTTATTTAGAATGGCTGATTTTATTGAAGACAAAAAGTTGTTTAGTGCAAACAAGAGCAAATATAAAGAAAGCTAATGATTTCCTCATAGAATTCCAAACATACTTTCACATTTTTATTAGGTAGGATTACTTTATGTCAAAAAAAAAACAATCACTTTTTTCACATTGTGAATGATGTAATTTATGAGATTAATGTTATAAACCTAATACCGGAAAGGCRGAAAGTCGGTGGGAAATGTGTAGCACTGACGTAAATCCAACAAACTGATTATTTTCTTTTGAGATTGAGTATAGTTAATTAACAGAAATGTGAATTGCATTCAAGTTTTTTTGGTAAATACTGGTAATACTTAATGTGTTTATAATTTATAGTTGATCACTTTTTAAATCTATGAGTACCTACCTATTTAATTTATATTAGTTTGAAGTATATAGGCAAGTACATATTTTGTATCAGCCTTATTTATTCCTAGATCCAACTCCCACATATCTATACCTTAAGTTAAATTTATAAAATATTTGTGTATATTTATTATAACTTCTATCACAGTTAATGTTAAAATACCTGATATCAATGTATTGAGAAGTTAAAATATTTAAATAAATCTGATWTATTATTGTATAAATAGACTAGTGTAGAAAGCTATTAACTATTAATAACTATTCAACAAAATTAATTATACCTTTTCAAAAATTTTATCATGTCCATTATGTTTGATTGAAAAGTTTAAAATTTTTCTTACTGATTCTAACACTTTGTTACTATTCATTATAGTATTTTGTGCAATCAATAATAAATCCTGATTAACAAAGTATATGCAAGAAAATTTTAAAGTATCTAAGCATAAAGTAATTTATGTTATTCAATTTGTAAATAATATTAGTTTTAACAAATTACAAACTTGATTTATTAACTATTTTATTAGAAAATTATGAAAATTATGTTTTTATTTTTTAGTAATTTGTTGACTTGGTCGACTCACGACTTCACGAGTCTCGACTCTCGACTGAACAGTAATCACAATAATCACATCACTATTCAGTGATAACACAAGAACATTATGATACGATGGCTGTGGACATAATCACATAAGACAGCCGTGGTTCTCATTGTTCTCAACCTTTTTAATTGTGCGGACTGCGGACCAAAAATAATGTAAAAAAAAAAAAA